AATTTTTTCTAATTGTTAAAAAAAAAAAGCAAAAAAGAAGAAAAAAAAGGTGGAAAATCAATTTCCACCAAAACCAAAAGAAAACAAATTCCTTGAAAACAAGGAAAAGCGTGGATGAATATATGGAAAATGTTTTTCTTGATCACTTTTTGCACATCAAACAAGGAAATCTTGGGGAAATGAAAAACTTTTTCCATTTTCTACGGAAAATGCCCCTAATCAAACATTGCCTAAGGGTCCGTTTGATTGTAAAAGTGGAAAGTGGGTGAAAAGAAAATAAATTTCAGGGAATTGAATTGTCTAAAAATTATTTTATTGAGAATTGTAATTAATTGTGTTTGATTGGTATAATTTTCCACCTAAAAAATGTTGAAAGTTTATTATTCGTTTAACTTTATTTTTCATGAAAATTGTTCATTAAAGTGATAATTTTTCTACCATTGGGTCTAGAATTTGTTCCAATTGCCAAAAAATTACAAAAAAAAAATTTACTATACAAGATATCATTCATTTAACTTTGTTTTGTATAAAAATTGCCAATAAAAGTGATAAATTTTTTTACCATTGTATCTAAAATTTTTTCCAATTGCAAAAGAAAAAAAAAAGAAAAAGAAAAAAAAACCTAGAAATTGGTGGGAAAATGATTTTAAGTAAAAGCTAGAAAATGTGAGTGTGTGAGGAAAAGTGGGAAAATATTTTGCTTAGAAAAAAACCTATCAAATAAAGGAAAAGTGGGAAAATGGAAAACAAATTCCATATTCCATGGAATTAGCTCCCTATCAAACAGGGCCTAAGTTCAATTGCATGTGATGATATTAAATTTATTCAACTTATTCTTTAATATCATATTAACTGATATTTTAACACCAATGATACTAATGCCATGCTACTTCAAAAAGTAAGTCACCAACATATAGCAGATTGCGACGGCCAAACGTAAAAGGGATGTCTGTGCATAGAAATACATCGATGGAACGGTCTTATATGCACACGTGGTGGATTGTTCACATAAATCATGACACCTCAATTCTCCTACTATGCAAGTCACGATACTTCAGACACCGAGTGGATGATCTTCTCACCCAATCTGTTTATCTCGCACTTACTTAACATTTAAGGTGTCATAACTTGAGTGAAGAATCATACCAAGTATACCTATATAACTGTCCCACTAAAGTCTTTTTCACAAAGAAATACTATATGTATGTTAGAGAAAATTGAGACGAGAGAAATTAGAAAAAGCAGTATGCGTATGTGTACAATCTATATTGAGTGTTCTTGTATTGAAAAATTTATTGAGTTCATGAAGTCTCATTCTCCGGTAGTTGGTTGTTTATCGAACAACGTTTAATTTGTAATTTTTCTCACCGGTTCGTTTTTTATTTTTCTTTTCGCTGTGTTCGCCGAATGTTTAGTGAATATTTTTCTCAACAGTAATGAATAAAAAAATGCAGTCAGAAAGCATAGTCAAAAGTTTGAAGCTAGTGGCACTGTGACAGCAACTGTTTAATTGACAAGAAGGTTGCTAATCACCAAGGATGCTTGAGTTAGTAATTTCCGTGCACTTTCTCCCCACCCTCCTTTTAGTTAGTAATTTCCATGCACTTTCTCCTCACCTTCCTTTTAGCCCTTTTTCCATATCTGCATCTAGAAGAGGTTTCACTATATTCCTCATTCTTTTTCTTTTTCATTTTTTTTTTCATTCTCGTATAGATAAAAAATATCTACGTATTCCTAAGCTTAGATTCTCGAAAAAAAAAAAATAATAAAAATTCCGAGACCTTCAACTGCAACAACATTTGGGATGGGTAGATTATATGACAATTGGGAAAGATTGGTTGAAGCCACTCTACGGAGAGAGGAGCTTCGAGAAGTTGCTCGGAATCCTAGCGTCAGCTCTATTTCTTCAGAATTCAGTTCTCCTATTCATGATCACATGGCTGTCAAGAGCCCTGGAGGTACATCTCTTTGTGTTATACGAACTGAAACAATTAAGACTTCGGTCTGTCTTCTTTGTAGGCTACATCACTAATTAGTTAAAACTTTCATGATTTAGGACCCTTTGAAGAGGGTGGATCGCCTCAACAGAATGGCCAAACTACTCATGCTTGGCCAGCCGCACCAGTCTTGAAGAAGCGGCTCAGCCACTTAATCAGCATGATTAATGGAGATCACTTGGAGGAATTTTCCTTGCAAAAGTTACTTAAAGCGACAAATAGTTTCTCTGAGGAGAATAAAATTGTCACCCCAAACTGTGGTTCAGTCTACTATGGTACAATGGATGACGGGCGCGAAGTGACCATCAAGAGAGCCAAATCTTCGTCCTCTTCATCGTGTGCGGGCATCGCCAAACACTGCCAACCGGACAAGGACAATACATACTTGAATGAGATCGAAATTTTATCGCATCTTAATCACAAGAATCTTGTTAGGCTATTAGGATATTGCGAAGACTGCAATGAGCTCATATTAGTATACGAGTTCATGAACAATTGTACCCTCCATGACCACCTGCACAACCCAAAAAGTTCTCCATTAATGTCATGGCCAACAAGAATTAAGATTGCACTTGATGCAGCAAGAGGAATTGAGTACCTTAATGAGTATGCTGTGCCACCAGTTATTCACAGGGACATCAAGTCATCCAGCATATTACTCGATGCTACCTGGACTGCCAAGGTGTCCGATTTCGGGCTATCTTTGATGGGCCCGCAAGATGACGAGTCCTTAGATGTTTATAGTTTTGGAATCGTATTGCTGGAATTGCTATCAGGTCCTAAGGCAATTCACAAGAATGAGAAAGCGGTGCCAACAAATTTGGTGGATTATGTAGTTCCGTACATAAGTCAAGATGAAATTCATAGAGTTCTGGATGGGAGGGTGCCCCCTCCTACACCATTTGAGATTGAGGCAGTGGCATATGTAGGGTACCTTGCTGCAGATTGCGTCATGCCAGAAAGACAAGATAGGCCACCAATGACTGAAGTTGTAAATCGCTTAGATAGAGCCCTTAAGGCATGTTTGGAACCCCCGGTGTTGTCTCGATTCAATACCGACTTCTCTGCAACCCCTCGACACAATCACATAAATGATAAACGATACAATATACTTTATTCATGTGGTTGTAGCTGAGAGTCTCACCAGTTCCTCTTGGTGGGTTGTGTGCCTATATAGTATAATTTTGATGATGTAAAATAACATTTTTATAATAAATAAATTGTGTGGGTTTTGTTTATTTTGTGTTGTATTTATTTGATGTTGAGCGTGCGAATAAAAGTGTCAATAATTACTTGTGATAATATAAGTTAGATGCTTACGTGGATAAGCAGTGTGAAACACAACTTAAATTTTATTCATAGAAAAAAATTGTTTACAACCAATATATAAGAATTGACACCTTGTAGATCAACTATTCGGATTGTGATTTATAATTATTACATAAATAGTTTAATGGTAACACCGGTACACTTAAAGTGTATTAAACGGACCACGTGTCGAATTTAATTCTATAACATGACCGTGCATAGAATTAAATTCCACTTGATTGCCAAATATTCAATCTAAATTCATATAAATGGTTTTGTATTTCTTTTCATGAGTTTGATAATTCTTTGATTTACCAATGGATGAAATTAATTTGATTGTTCAAATATCTCGATGAGTTGAGACTTGAGAACGAGCGAAGCATGGAACACGAATTTGTATAGGGAATCATCGATCTAAAGAAAGATCAAGTGACTACTTAAATGTTTTTTGTTTAACAGTTATAAAGCTGGGCTCCACATTCAACGGCAGCTAAACTTCAACATATATAATCGGTTCATAAGACTGTTGATGAAAACGAGACTTAAGTTTATGAGAATAATTAGAGTTGCAAAATGACCCTTTATGCTCGTACTTATTATCGAATCTCGGGTGGGGATGAAATTCATATATGCTAGGTTAAAGGAAAGCATCAAGTATTATATAACTTCTTTGGTTTTATATATTTCGAGAATGTAGTCTTCTTTAGATTATGATTGATTAAGCATGATCAAATTAGTAGATCGTGGATAATATGTCCGTACATGTCCTATAGTACCTTGAAAACATTTTGGACTCAATTGCAATTACTTGAAAAGTTTTAGACTTGTAATTATAATTAACGTTGTGGACTTCATGTACAATTAAACTAATTGTGGCATAATTTGTGATGAAGGCAAAATAATANCATCAAGTATTATATAACTTCTTTGATTTTATATATTTCGAGAATGTAGTCTTCTTTAGATTATGATTGATTAAGCACGATCAAATTAGTAGATCGTGGATAATATGTCCGTCCATGTCCTATAGTACCTTGAAAACATTTTGGACTCAATTGCAATTACTTGAAAAGTTTTAGACTTGTAATTATAATTAACGTTATGGACTTCATGTACAATTAAACTAATTGTGGCATAATTTGGCTTGGACTAGGAGATTGATATTTTCTTCATAAACACAACCCAATAATGGCCGAAAATCACTAGGGAAAAAGAGAGAAAATTGGAAAAGTTTTTTTTAAAGATCATCCAATCTGCAATTTGATTTAATTGAAAGAATGTGCACATAGGTCATTGTAGTCTTGACTTTGAAAGATACAATAGAAGACTCAAAAGGTTTGAAGACCAAGTTGTTGAAATCAAAAGTCGAAAGTTCATTATCCAAAACGCTAGAAGTTTGTAAATCAAATCCGATCAAAATTTTAACTATCGAATTTGAGTAAATTTTTAATCTTTTATTTCTCGACTATAACTAGACGTGGACAAAATGATCAGAACCAAGACAAATTGAGTGGTTCAATTCGATTCTATAAAAAAAATTAAAAATTTTGGTTCTTAGAATCGAGAATATTTTGTTCTAGTTCTAGTATCAAGAATTAGAATCGAGAACAGAACTATCAATTTTTATCATTTTTATATATTTTTTCTTTTTACAAATAAATGAATCACCCACAAAAAAAAAAAAAAAATCCAACGTAAAAAATTACAAGTGTGAAATGGACAAAAATGTCATTTAACATTACATTTTACCTTATCACCTACAAACAAAGCGGTCTAGCCCGAGATCTAAATTATAATTCATTTATCTCGTTTCCAATTTTACGCACACGACGCACTAGTACACCACACCTACCATTACTGAAAGTTTGACATTTATTTTTTAAATTTAGGTATATATCACTAACTTATAAATGTGGTGATATATTTTAATTTGCATTTATTGTTTGAAAATTTAAGTCAAGGAATCAGAACCATACCAAACCAAACAAATTTAGAAACGAATAGATTGATTTCAGTTTGGTTCCATATTTTTTTTAAAAAAAAATCATTAGTTCCATTATCAATCAAATAATTAGTACATGGTTCGGTTCGATTCAGTGCGACTATCTTGAAACCAGAATCAAATGAAATCATGTCCATCCCTAACTATAAAATACAAGTGAACATTTATTAACAATCATGGATTCTTGAATTGAAGAAATTTTTTATTTTCGGAATCATTCTTATTCCGTATTCCAACATACGCGAGGTGACTCCACGTGTAAAATTGGGTGGCCATCAATGAAATTAACCCAATCATTTTATAGTTGAGTTTTGGTAATTCTCTTTGCAATTCTTAAGAAAAGGGAAAAAATTTCAAAATCAAGAAATTGCCAAACCATTAACCATAGAGTAGTCACATTCTAGACCAGGTTATCCTCAATATTTATTTATGTGGAACGTGATGTTGTAAATATCCATTTTTTTTAACTCGGCAATAATTTATGAATCCTACAAGAATGAATAGCGTTATCTAGAAATTGTCAAATCATTAACCATAGAGTAGTCACATTCTAGACCAGGTTATCCCTAATATTTATTTACGTGGGACGTGATGTTGTAAATATCCATTTTTTAACTAGACAATAATTTATGAATCCTACAAGAATGAATAGTGTTATCTAGTACCAGTGGTGTTAAAGCAGTAGCCTATGTGGCTACACTTTATACGTTGAATTAAATGAGTTATTTGACTTTGCGTTTAATGAAACTATCATTTAATACCATATAATTGATAGAGATCGGTGCTTAACACCGATTATGATCAATAACATTACTCTACAAAAATGTGTGCATAAAAATTGTAATTGAATTTTGAACAAGTTAAAAAGGTGCGTTCTATATCATTGGGATTATGCACATAGCAGGAGAACGTGCTGAGAGTTAAGGAATTTTTGCCACAACTAGCCAAAGGGAGACCAAATACTACTTTAGGGAAGCTTTTAATGCGACTTTCCTAATGCCGTCTTTTCTAACTCTAATTTTTTATATATGAATCAATTTGTGTAAATTATGTATTTACATTCACAAATCTCCATTCTCTCCAACACTAAATATTGCTATCCACTTTTTGTTTGAAGGCTATCTCCAGCGCTGCATCAAAATTTGCACCATTTTGCACAAAATCTTGCATCAAACTAAAATTCATCTTCAAGCATTACACCAAAACTTACACCAAATGGACAGTGGTTAATCATTTTCTTCTCTTTTTTTA